TCTTGTTCCTCTTCATCGAAACCTTCCTCATCGCTCCATGTAGCCACATGAGCCTTGTGTTTCTTCTTAAATTGACCCTTTTTCTTCAATTGAGGGCAATCATATTTGACATGCCCCAGCTTTTTGTATTCATAGCAAATAATGGGGTCTTTCTCCTTCGGTTCATTTTTGAAGCCTTCATTCCTTTTGAATTTTCTTCCTCGATTGGGCCTCATCAATTTTCTGAACCGTTTGGCAAATAATGCCATTTCTTCATCATCGTCATCTTCATCCGAATCACTCTCATCTCTTGTAGATTTGAGAGCAACTTCAACATTATTCTTCTTCTCCTTCTCCTTTGGTGTCTCGTCAATCTTATCGAGGTCTACCTCATCTTCAAGCATCATTTCATGAGTGAGGAGGGAGCCTGTTAGTTCTTCAAGGATTAAGGACTTCAAGTTTTTAGTCTCGATGATTGCTGTCTTCTTTGATTGCCACGATTTTGGAAGTGAGTAAACTAATTTCCTCACGAACTTTTCATTTGGAATGATCTATCCATATGATTTGAGACCATTGACAATCGTTGAAAATCTATCCATCATAGCTTTTATATCTTTATTTGGTTTCATCCTGAAATTTTCATATCTATGAGTTAGAAGACTAATTTTAGATTTTTTTACCTCGTCCGTGCCTTCATGAGTGACTTGTAGTTTATCCCATATCTCCTTGGCAGTTGTACACGATGAAACTCTTCCGTATTCATCCGTTCCAAGTGCGCAAAATATGATATGGATGTCTTTGGAGTTGAGCTGAAACATTATTGTCTCTCCTTCACTCCACAATCTTGGGTGAGTGGAAGGTTTGATGTATCAATATTCTATGACATTCCATGCTCTCATGTCACTTGCTTGAATAAAGTACATCATTCTATTCTTCCAATAAGCATAGTTAGCTCCATTGAATAAATGAGGCTTGTTGACGGGCATTGAATCGAGAACGAAGTCAGAGTTTGAAGCGTCGACCATTGATGACTTGAATATCGATGTAACTCTTCCCGGATCTACTCAAGAGGCGATTAAATCTTCAAATGAGTCAAGCTCTTATACCAATTGTTGAGTTAATCGATCGACGAATATAGCCAAGAAGGGGTGAATTGGTAATTAAAAATTTGGTAGAAGTTTTTCAGAAAATTGAAAAATATTTGCACAGCAATTTAGAGTGGTTCGAATTTCTCACCCAAAGTCTACATCCACTACCTTATCTATCCACACTAAGGATTTTCCACAAATTCACTAATTTGTCTTTCTTTTGAGGATAAAGAGTAACCTTACAAGTCCCTCAAGAATTATACCCCAAATTCTTGAGAACACTCTCTCCTAAAGAGAACAATACAAATTTTGCAAACTTACAAGAAAGTCCTCACAAGGAAAGATGTTTGCAAAATTATATAACAAATAAAGAACACTCAAGAATAATACAATTGAGTACAATAAGTGTTCTTGAAAGCAAAGATGAATATAGAATGAAATAGGCTTGAAAATGCTCAAACTTGAGGTTTGTTGCTTTCTCTTTGATTCTCTCTTGATTCTTGTTTCATATTATTGATCAATGGCTTCTAAGCTGATTTAAATACTCCTTCAATTGATTATGAACGTTGGGGATCATTAGTGGAGTCAATAGAGTCGTTATTATGTGAAAACAATTAATAAAACAACTTAGAGCGTGGGGGGAATCGGTACCCCCTCATAGGGGATCGGTTCCTGCAGTGTAAAATTTAAATATTTCGTTTGTTATGAGATGGGGGAATCGATACCTCCTGGGGGGGACCGGTACCTTCTGAGTAATCTGTTATTTCTCGGAGCCAAAACCTTTCAGGGGGTATCGGTTCCCTCCTTGGGGGAATCGGTACCCTATGAGTAAACTGTAATTTTTGAAAGACTCGAAATACTTTAAAAATTATTTCAAAAATATTTTAAGATTGAAACTTAATTTTTGAGTAAGAATTAAAATTGACATTTTGAAAAGCTTGGAGTAATATTTTGATATTCGAATAGTTGTATCGAATATACTTAGAAAATCAATACTTAGAAAATCATTCGTAAAATCTTAAAATTAATTTAACTTAATTTGTTATATCGAAACATCAAAATGTTTTTAACAATGTTCATTTAGCATTCATGGACATGCTTGTTTAACGTTTATTTAGCTTTCATGAATGTGTTTGTTTCGCATTTACGAATGTGTTCTTTTAGCATTCATGAATGTGTTCATTTATATATTCAAAAATTAATCAAAACCAAGTAGTGCTAAAGAAAAATGATAAAATCACGTCACTAGTGTTTAAATTCCTTAAGCTTCACAATTTAAATTCTAAATTTTACTATATGTCCAATTTAATCCCTACTTTCATCAATATTTAAAATGTTAAAAAAAGTAAACGAATCATTACACGAGCTTGTTCATGAACATAAATAAACGAGTCAATAAAATTACCGATTTGAAAGTAGCGTTGTAAATGAACCGAGTTTGAACTTACAAGGTAGTGTTCATGTTCGATTCATATTTGTTTAAATTTTAAATATTGTGTTCGTGTTTATTGATTTATTTTTGAAGGTGTTTGTGTTCGTTCGCTTAGCGTTCATGGACATGCTTGTTTAATGTTTGTGAACATGTTCATTTAGCTTTCATGAACGTGTTTGTTTAGCATTTACGAATGTGTTCTTTTAGCATTCATGAATGTGTTCATTTATACATTAAAAAATTAAACAAAACCAATTGTGCTAAAGAAAATGATTAAATCATGTCACCAGTGCTTAAACTCCTTAAGCTTCAAAGTTTAAACTCTAAATTTTATCATGTGTTCAATTTAATCTCTATATTCATTAATATTTAAAATGTAAATAAAAAGTAAACGAGTCATTACATGAGCTTGTTCATGAACATAAATGAGCGAGTCAATAAACAAGTTTGCTCATGAACATAAACAAACGAGTTGATAAACAAGATTGTTAATGAACATAAACAAATAAGTCGATAAACGAGCTTGTTAATGAGCATAAACAAATGAGTCGATAAACGAGCTTGTTTGTGGACATAACCGAACCAAGCACGCCTCCATTCGTGTTCATTCATTTATTAAATGAACATATAAAATTTGTTCATACTCGTTTATTTAACATAAGAAACAAACATTATACGAACGATTCACGAACAATTCAATGAACGCTCTATTCCTTTACACCCTTAGCTGAAAACATAGGGTAAACTACACCAGATACCACCAAACTTTAAGCGCAGACTCGTTTATACCACCAAACTTTCCATTTTGCCAATTTTAGCACTAATGTTTAGTTTTAAGTGCATTTATGTCACTTCGCCATTAATGATCTAACGGGACGATGACATGACATCCGTGTGTCGTGACGTTGCTGACGTGACTACCTCACCAAAACGACATCGTTTTGGCACAATTGTTTTAATGCTCATAAAGCCCAAAATGACATTGTTTTGCTAATGGAAAAAATTATTTCCATAAGATTTATTATAATTCTAACAAAACTAATATATATGTTAAATAACAGTTTGAATTTATATCATTTATTTAATATTTTTATTTTGTTTTGTTTTATTATATATATGATTTATAATAAAAATAATATTTTTTCAAAAAAACCCTTAAAATTTTGAAATTCTTAAATTTCCCCAAAAACCCAAAGTCATAAGTACTAAATCCCTAATTTCACCCATTGTCGATGTCGAACCTATGACCACTGCCCACCATTTCCATCGTCGGACCCTTACCACCAATTATCCCACTCTGTTATCGCCTGAAATCGATGAACAACGTGCTAATCTAGCATCAAACGTTGAATGTAAAATATTCTAATTGAACCACAAACGATGATCGATTAACGAGCAAATAATGAATGACATGCACAGTGAGAAGAGGACGTTTTAGTGCGACGACAATGGCGTGCTATTGAAGATGATGATGGGGGAATTTAGAGATTGTGATTTAGAGTTTAGGAATTTAGGGATTTTTAGGAATTTAGGTTTTTTTAGAATTTTGTGGAATTTAATGTGTTTTTTAGGAATTTTAATAATTTCATGAGATCTTTTAGAAAATAATATATGGAATGTGTGACTCGTGTTATGTATATTATGTTTGTATAATTATATCAAAATTTTAAGTTGACATAGTGGTTAAGCATTAGCTTTTGCTTCAAAAGGTCTTGAGGTCAAATCCCCATTAAATGTAATATTTTATCAAATCTTCTCAAACAAAATTTTGTTGTTCTAGGTTTTTTTTTAGCACCAAACACAGTCATGCCTAATTAATGTCATTTTGGTGAGGCAATCACATCAACAATGTCATGGCGCACAGTTGTCATGTCATCATCCGGTTAGATAATTAACAGCAGACTGACATAATTGCACTTAAAAATAAATGTCAGTCCTGAAATTGAAAAAATTGAGAGTTTAATGGTATAAACGAGTCAGCGCTTAAAGTTTGATGGTGCTTGTGTAGTTTACCCTAAAATTTATTAAAATAAAATTAAAGAAATACAATTAAAATTAAATATTATGAAATTAAAAGAAATAATATAGCATGTTACGATGAAATAATTTGAGAATTAGGAATATAAAATTTAATAAAATTTAAAATTAAAATTAAAAATTAAAATATATAAGAAATCACACTCAATTAAGAGAAATTTTGTGATCCGGACTTGACTAAAAAACTCACAAAAAATAAGGAATTGAATACCTGACCCATAAATTTGGGTGTTTTCAATATAAACACCTAATAACTTTTAACCAGATCGATAGGTCGGGTTGTTCAAGTCGGACTTTTTGAACATCTCTAATCAGCACAACCGTTAATTTTTTAACGACGAATTACTAAAATAGAACAAAAACATAATTTTATGTATGATTATAAAAAAATAATTGGATAATCTTAACGAAACTACAGTTACAGTTATATGACTAAATATATAGTTTACTTAATATTTAAACCCGCGGGCTCCTCAGCCTCCTTTCCCTATCCACGCCGCCCATTCTCTGGTTTTGCCAAAGACGATTGAAACATAACTTCAAACCCGGATATGTCGGACGAGGAACATCACTTTGAATCCAAGGCCGACGCCGGCGCTTCCAAAACCTATCCTCAGCAGGCCGGCACCATCCGCAAAAACGGCCATATCGTCATCAAAGGCCGCCCCTGCAAGGTCCCCTCTTTTGAATCTATGAAATTTGTTTTCTTTTTCTTTTAAATATCTGTTTGGTGTTATCCCGGAAATAGACCCTGATTTAGATTTTTCTAGGTTTATTAATGATTTCTACTTGTTATTTTGATGGTTCATATTTGTTGCTTTATTTTTTAAATTATTTTTTATAGTTGGATTTTGAAATTTATATTTTTCGTTTGCCTTTTTTTTTTTTTGAAATCTATATGTATTTTACTTGTTCTTCATATCTGTTTATTTGTTTTTGTTTCAAACAGTTGACAATATGCCGTTAATTTTTTTTAAATCTCTTAAATATTGTTTTGAAAGCTTATAAGTATTGAAAAGAGTTAGGTTTAACTTTTCTAATACTTTTTCTTTAGCTTTATATAAACTTTTTACCCAGTAAAAGCAATTTTTTTTAAAAAACCCATTCTTTAGTGTTAAGAAATTATTAGGTTTTTCTAATGAATCTTCTCATTCCGAGTCATAACCAATCTGTTAGTGTTTGCTGGCGTGTGATTAACTAGTGTTTGAAAGATTGACTGATATGATACTTGACATGCTTTTGTTCCTGATATGGTCAACGGTTTGATACGGTTCTTCAATTTTATTAAAAAAAAAATCATGTATTCAAGGGTCCTTGGTATTTTGCCTAACAGTGTTTGAGTATGCGTCCGAGGCTGGTATTCCATAAGACATGAAGAGTTGGATTAACATACATTGATTGTTGATTTTGTACCTTTTGGTTGCTATTTCTGTTCGAGTATGAAGTGATTTAAGATTTTCAGTTAACTTGATTATTGTTGTCTAATATGTTGCAGGTTGTTGAGGTTTCCACCTCCAAAACTGGGAAGCATGGTCATGCTAAGTGTCATTTTGTTGCCATTGACATCTTCACTGCCAAGAAGCTGGAAGATATTGTTCCTTCTTCCCACAACTGTGATGTATGAAATTATAACTTCATATGCTTTGTTTTGCTTTCTCGGTTCTAATGCATGTGTTGCACTACTGTTAATGAATGTTTATTCTTTGGCTTTTAACAGGTTCCACATGTCAATCGTACTGACTATCAGTTGATTGACATTTCTGAGGACGGATTTGTAAGTACTTCTGCTGGAAGTTCTGTGCTTGCGTTTCTTAACTAGTTAATCATTTCAGGTGAGTTTGCTGACTGATAGTGGAGACACTAAGGATGATCTGAGGCTCCCAACTGACGAGAGCTTGTTGAAACAGGTTAATTAACTATTTATATATATCTATATTAGACATACATCATTGTTGTCATAGAGTAGCCTTTGCTGATTCTAAAAACAACCAGGCCTTTTTGTGCTGCCTAGTGGCTCCTGTGGCAGCATGCAATGCTTGTTCCATTCTTTTCCTTGTAGACGCTGAAGGGCTTGTTAAAATTTGGCATGTGAGAGGTTTATACTTTATTCATTTCTACGAGTTTTGTTTATGTTAGACGGACTTCAGAGTATCTTATGCATATGTATATTTGACTAGGACATGATCAGTTTCATTGATTTTTTACATATAATTTGGAAAACACGTCCATTTTCTTACGTCTGTGGTATATATCAAACATGGTTATGGGTATTTGAGAGTAAAGAGTTCGAGTAACATAGTTTTTCTTATGTCTTTATATATATATGGATTGAGTCTCATTACATTAGGGGAATATAGATTCTCTCCTGAAAATGTTTTTATCATGCTACTCAGCCTAGCCATATTCTCGCTTTACAATGTGCTTTGTATGTTTTGCTGTTCAAATGGTGATTAGCTGATGTTTTTATCATATATGGCACTTCCATTGCTTCTCTGTATTGTCATCTTAATAGTTATACCCCTTATGTGGATTTGCATCCAATAACATGTTTCTGCAACTACAGATCAAGGATGGTTTTGCCGACGGAAAAGACCTGGTTGTGTCTGTTATGTCCGCAATGGGGGAGGAGCAGATCTGTGCTCTCAAGGACATTGGTCCAAAGTAGTTTGAGAATCTACTAATTTTATACATGTATTGCAATTTTAGATTAAAGTTTTTTACCCCCCAAAACAAATTCAATTGATTTTCCTCTTGGACACTTGAGTTCTCTTTATGTTTTATCTGGATAGAGAAAACACCATTTATTCTACTTTCAAGGCTTTGTTATTTTTTTGGCATAATATCAAAATTAGCCTAACGTTTACCAAAATGGTTATTTTTCCCTTTATTCTACTTTTTGGAGCATTTTGACCCACAACGTTTCATTTTAGGACAAAAAGATTCATAACATATGACCGAATAATCATTTTAGAGGGGGCTTTTGATCCCAAAGTGAAATGTTGGAAGCTAAAATACTCAAAAAAAAAAATAGAATATAGGCTAAAATAATCATTTTAATAAATGTTATGAGCTACTTTTAACATTATACCTTTTTTTGTCGCATATTTGTGGCAATTTATGCTCAAATTATTCAATAATAAAATTTGCTAATGTCATCTCATTAGCTCAGTATTCTGATAGAAAAGGTCTTTTTTCTCTAGGAAACATGAAAAGATTGAGGTGCCCATGAGCTGTGGCACTGTATAAAATGGTATTAAAATATGTTAAAAGTGATAGTTTTAAGGAAGAATTCACTTTGATTCGTGAAATCGTGTATAATTTACGAATATTTTCTTATGCTCATAGATAAATATTTGTGTAAATAAAAAAATCAAGTATTGATTCAAACAAACAAAAAATCAAGTTTATTTATCTAATTGCAGTTAAAGAAATTAAATTTCAAATTAAACCATGAAGTCAAATTTAAAAATATAATTAATTAAATCTTAAAATGAAATTTAAATGTATTAACCAAATAATAATTTGTGAAAAATTGATGTTTACATGATTGTTAAATAAAATCTTTACTTCTATTTATCGGATATCGTTGATTTAAATAAAATTGAATGTTTACATAATTTTATTTAGTTTATTGAAATACACAAATACTCTACAAATGTAATTGTTCAAATTAAATTTTTTTAAAAAGTAACATTTTATTTTATCATTAAAATCAATTAATAAGTTCTTTCTTCCCATTTTCCAACGCGTATACAAGGATTATCCCTTAGTGCTGACTTAGAAATATTTTTCAAGCTTTGCTGCTCAAATTGTGCAATAAATATGGAATGTTACTCTAATTAATAACAGTACTTGAATTTCATTTTTTGCGATAAATTTTAAACTTAGTTTTCTTTTGAAAGATTTAAATATAATTATAATCTACTAGGAAAGAAAAGTACTAATAGTTTGATTAACCGATCAAATGTAGTTACTCACTTTCATTTTTCCTTTTAAAGTAACATCTCTATTTTCACTATAATTGATTCAGGTAATATGGTATCCGATTTTCTTTTTTGACAAATCAAAATTAAGTAAAGTATATAAATAACCCGTCAACTATAGAGTGTTGCTTTGTTGAGTCTTTTGACTATTAAAAGTTACAAAATGGTCCCCTGACTATATGATATTGTTTTGTTGAGTCTTTCGACTGTTAAAAGTTACAAAATGATCACCTGACTATTCATATATTTCATACTCGTCATTTTTTGTTAAAAATTAACGACCGTCTGAGCTAGACGTTAACTTGTTGATCGGAGTATGATAAAATTATATTTTAATGACGTCTACTGGTATTATCGTTGCTTTGAAGCACTGACTCAATGACATAATGTAAATAGGGAGTTGATCTATAAAATATAGGTTAAATGGTTCTAGTGTCAAATTTTATCATATTCAGTTAATAGGTTTACATCTAGCTCAGACGATCTTCAATTTTTTAATGAAAAATGACGAGTTTGAAACATATAAATAGTCAGATGACTCAACAAAGCAGTGACTTATAGTCGGGAATCATTTTGTAACTTTTAATAGTCAAGGGACTCAATAAAGCAACACTCTATAGTAGAGGGCCTTTTGTGTAATTTACCCATCAAAATTATAAATCTAAATTAATTTTCTAAAAAAATTAAAACTAAACAAACTTAAAAACTAAACTATATATATTGACAAACATTATATTGAGACTTGTTTGATAAAATGATATAAAAAATATTTACTTAATAGTTGAACTTTAAAATAGAAAGATTAGTACGAATAAAAACCTTTGGATTCAAAGTGAGATTTCATTAAAAGGAACCGAGATAGGTAAATTAAGTCATTAAACAACAATGAATATTGAATTTTAGTAAAATAATATAAAAATAAAATAAAAATGAAATGAAATGGGTATCGAGTAATCGGTTAGGGCTCTTTTGTTATCTAGGTCCGAGCTGAAAACCTGGAAATAATAGCAATTCGGGTATCCGAACCATAAATTTAAATATTCACATCATAAATACTAATAATTTTTAATCGGGTTGTTGGATCAAAGAATCGAATAGATCAAATCAGATACTTTTGAACACCCCAAACTCTTTTAAACCAAGTCACGCATAGTTTTAAGAAAATATATATTTAGACATCATATTATAATTGTATAAAAATATAATTACATTTTTAATAGTCTAAGGTGACTAAAAGTTCATATCTATTTAGAATCTTTCTTAGTTATTGACATTACACCCTATTCATTCTATGTTCAAGAAGATTTAGGACTAATCCTCCAATGTTTACTGCCTTATTTCTACTCATCTTTCAAAGGCACAATCTTGTAAATTCGCGAAACACTCACTCTTAAAGAGGAGTATAATGACATGCACTCATTCAATAAAAGATGAAGTATCTTGTATCTAGTTTCGAGTCGCAAGTAGAGGGCCTCATGGTGCATGGACCGACTAGCTCAGACCGTGAAAGAAAAGGCAAGCGTTCTTCTAGCAGTAAAGGAAGTGGCAGATCAAAATCTTCCAAACGATGTAAAACTTGCCACTTTTGTAAAAAGAAAGATAATATTAAACCAATGCATAATAAGATAAAGAGAAAGGTTGAAGAACAATTCGTAGAGAGATCTAGCTCAGACGTTGCAGAAGATATCGAGTGCGAACTCCTAGCGGCCTTCAACGATAATGCGAAGGAGGAAGAGGAGTGGATCCTTTACTCTGGGTGTACCTATAACATGTGTCCCAATCGCGATTGGTTTGTGACCTATGAAGTTGTGTCAATAGGTATTGTATTGATGGATTATAATGCATCTTGTAAGATTGCAGGAATTGGCAGTGTCAAAGTCAATATACATGATGATGTTGTCAGAACCCTGAGCGGTGTTCACCATATTCTAGGTTTGAATGTAACATAATCTTGCTAAGTTCCCTTGAAACAAAAGGGTATAAGTACTCTGGTGAATGTGGAATTTTGAAGGTTAGTAATGGTTCACTTATTGTGATGAAGGCGGAGAAAAAGAATGGAAGATTGTATGTTATCCAAGGGTTTATGGTTATTAGTGATGTTGTTATTACATCATCTGCATTTTCAGAGAAATATATAATCAAGATTTGGCATATGCGCCTGGGGCATATGAGCGAACTTGGCATGACAGAGTTGAGAAAAAGAGGTCTCCTTGATGATAAAGGAATTCGTAAGCTAGGATTTTGCGAACATCGTGTGTTTGGCAAACAAAAGAGAGTCAGTTTTACCAAAAAGAATTCACAATACAAAGGGTACGCTAGACTACGTTCATTCTGATCAATGGGGATCGTCTAGAGTATCATCTTATGAAGGTGCAAACTACATACTGGCAGACATTGATGACTTTTCCAGAAAGGTTTGGCCTTTCTTCTCGAAGTAGAAAAGTAATGTGATGACTACATTTAAAAATCGAAAGACAATGATTGAGAAACATATCAGAAGAAATGTTAAACATCTTCCCACTGATAATGGTTTAGAGTTGTTTTTTGATTAATTTAATGAGTTGTGCAAAGAAAAAGGGATTGTATGACACCTAACGATCTTCCATACGCCACAAAAAAATGGTGTTACTAAACGGATGAATAAAATTATAATGAAGAAAGTTTAATGCATTCTCTCCAATGTTAGTCTACCGAAATCATTTTGGGCTGAAGCGGCTTCGCTAGCATGTTTTCTCATTAACATGTCTCCTTCAATGGCCATTGACAAAAATACTCCGTAAGATCTATGGTCTAGTAAGCCTGTATATTATTTTGATTTGAAAATATTTGGTTGTCCTGTGTATGCTCACGTAAATAATGGAAAATTGGAGCCTAGATCCATAAAGTACGAATTCATAGGATATAAATCGGGAGTAAGAAGATATAAGTTGTGGTGTCCTGAAAATAGAAAAATAGTTATTCGCATAGATGTGATATTTGATGAATCTGCTATGTTGCGATGATCACCCCTCAATGAAACTACCAAGGATTTGTAGGAACCAGAGTCCACACAGAATGGGGTAGAGTTTTAGTTTGAAATAGGGTCCGTATTTGACACGTCCATAGAGAATATAACTCCTCCACAACAATCTGATTTTTTGTCTTCTACTATACAGAATAGACCCAAAAGGGAAACTAGGCATCCGTAAAGGTACGTAGAGGTTGATCTAGTTGCATACGCTTTGAGTGTTGTGAAGACATTAATGTAAACCAAGAACCATCATCTTATTTAGAGGTAGTTAGTTGCGAAGACTCAGACAAGTAAATGATCGTAATACAAGAGGAAATAGAGTCACTTCATAAAAATGACACTTGGAATTTAGTGAAACTTCCTAGAGGAAAGTGATTCATTCAGTGTAAGTGGGTGTACAAAAAGAATAAAGGAATTCCGGGATATTTGAAGAACTCAAATACAAGGGAATTCTAATTACAAATGGGTTCAGTCAATTCCTTGGTATTGACTTTAATGATGTGTTTTCTCTGGTGAAAAAACATAGTTTGATTAGAGCTTTGCTTTGAATAGTAGGTATGAGAGACTTAGAGCTTGTGCAACTAGACGTGAAAACTATATTCTTGCATGGTAAACTTGAATAAGATATTTATATGCAGCAGTTGGAGGGTTTCATGGTCTCAGGAAAATAAGACCATGTCTGTTCGCTGAAGAAATCTCTTTATGGACTTAAGCAGTCACCCAAATAATGGAATAAGAGATTTGACTCTTTTATGGTTTCTCTTAAATTTAAGCGAAGTAATTTTGACAGTTATGTTTACTTTAGAATAATTTGTG